GTTTGCTGGATGAACTGTTTCTTTGTCTGCATCCCAAACCCCTTGGATTCTTTCCCAAGATTAGAGCCGGGACCTGAGCTTATCTCAGAAACACAGAGTCAATATTCATTGAACAAATGAATGAGGGAGGAAGAGGCCAGCTGTGTCCATTGCTAGGACAGATCAGATGCTCCTGGGCTTTTCCCGTTTGGAATGGAAATTTCCCCAAGACAGTCACTGATTCCTGACTTTCTAGCTTCCCAATCCTTGCTCCTACCTCCCCACCCCTACCCCACCCCGGTTGTCTGCCCCCAACTGCCACCAGCCAACTCTCAGCAACAACTTTGTCCTGGAAGCTCCATCCCTGGGCCTGGCCTTTCTTGGAATCTTCCTCCCTCTTCTCTTCTCTGCTTACTACCCCCACTTCCTTCCCTCAAGCCTCTCACTCACCCAACTCCACTCTCCCCTCATACCACCATCATTCAGAGACTCCTGGGCTCCTGCCCTCCACATCTCTGGCTCCTTCTCCTCAGCTCCCTAATCTTGGAGTTCCCAGAACTCCTTCCCTCTTCCCACTCTTTCTTTCACGAAGCCCACCCACCCACTCGAGCTCAAGCCACTTTGGGGTTGACCATTCCCCAGGCTCTGCATCTTTTCTAAGTAGCCTTCCCAGTGTCCCTAGACTGTTGATTCCTAGCTCCCACTCCAGCCTAGACCCTGGCCCCACCCTCTGTCCAGGTCACTGCCTGGCCTGCACCTAAGGTTCACCATCCCAGGGTGGAACCCAAATAAATAATGTTATGGGAATAATAATGAAGATGAGACACAAAGAGGTGAAATAACTTGCCCAGGCCGGATGCGGTGGCTCACGCCTGTAATCCCAGCACTTTGGGAGGCCAAGGCAGGCAGATCACCTGAGGTCAGGAGTTCGAGACCATCCTGATCAACATGGTGAAACCCCATCTCTACTAAAATATAAAAATTAGCTGGGCATGGTGGCACGTGGCTGTAATCCCAGCTACTCGGGAGGCTGAGGCAGGAGAATTGCTTGAACTCAGGAAGTGGAGTTTTGCAGTGACCTGAGATTGCGCTATTGCACTCCAGCCTGGACAACAAGAGCACAACTCCATCTCAAAAAAGTAAAAATAAAAAATAGGCCGGGCGTGGTGGCTCATGCCTGTAATCTCAGCACTTTGGGAGGCCGAGGCTGGCAAACCACGAGGTCAGAAGATAGAGACCATCCTGGCCAACACGGTGAAACTCCATCTCTACTAAAATACAAAAAATTAGTCAGGCGTGGTGGCACGCGCCTGTAGTCCCAGCTACTCGGGAGACTGAGGCAGGGGAATCGCTTGAACCCAAGAGGCGGAGGTTTCAGTGAGCCAAGATCGTACAACTGCACTCCAGCCTGGTGACAGAGCAAGACTCTGTCTCAAAAAAAAAAAAAGAAAAAACTAATCAATCAATCAATCAATCAATAAATGACTTGCCCAGCATAACAGAGCTAGTAAATGGTAGAGCCAGGACATATACCCGGATGGTCTGGCTCTGGAGTCTGCACCTTCCATGCTATTCGGCCTCACAAAGGGAAGCTTGGAATTTACCTGTGGGTCACAATTTCGACTCCTGGAAGAGTAAGCAAAGGGTCACAGCTCTCGGAGGTCAGCTGGGACAGTCATCTGGGACTCTCTACAGGGGCTCAGGTGGGCTATGAGCAGAGGCCCTGTCCCCTCCCCTTGCTCTCACTCTCCCCTAGCCCCCATCCCAGGCAGTTGAGAAGACTGGTCTCAGACTCGAAGCTAGATGCAAGGTGGGTCGTATATGTCCTGCTTGGCACGGTGGGGCACCGTACAGGGAATAAAAACCAGCCTCTGTCTTCTAACATACATCGGTCTCACTGTGGTCACAAGTCAAAGTTCCTTCTGTCCAAATGGTCTGCCTCTCCAGCAAGGACACTTTGAATGGCCTCCCATGGTGGGTTGGAGCTGGTTTTCCCACTTCTTCAGCCAGCTGCAACACCAATTGCCATGGTGTTTAACTCCTCCAATGCCCCTCTCTGAATGACCCCATTGCCCAGCAGCCTTGGGGACTAGGCAGGGCTAAAATAAAAATATTGCATAAGTTATACAGTCCTTGTATAGTAACAGTCCCTGCTCTGCCTTCTAAAAGGAAGACTGTTAGCCAGGGGTAGTTCTTGGCTTACAGGTTCTGCGTGGTGCACCAGCAGCCAAGGGCAGGCTAGATTGTTCTACATAAGAAAAACGGATCTGGGAGGAGGGCACAAGGACTGGAGGAGAAGTGATGGGGAGGAGAAATGAGAAAGAATGGCAGAGAATGAGGAGTTGCAAATGAGTTGCAAAGGAGTAGCTGAGGGCTGCAAAGGAGTAACTGAGGGGTGGTTCTCAGAGGGGAAGAGGATTTGGTGGAGGGTGTGGGGTCTTTTTTTTTTTGAGATGGAGTCTCACTCTATCCCCAGGCTGGAGTACAGTAGTGCAATCTTGGCTCACTGCAGTCTCCGCCTCCTGGGTTCTAGCAATTCTCCTGCCTCAGCCTCCCAAGTAACTGGGACTACAGGCACCCGCCACCACACCCAGCTAATTTTTGTATTTTTAGTAGAGATGGGGTTTCACCATGTTGGACAGGATGGTCTCGATCTCCTGACTTCATGATTCACCTGCCTTGGTCTCCCAAAGTGTTACGATTACAGATATGAGCCACCGCGCCTGGCTGGGTGTGGGGTCTTGTGTGCTACCATTGCCCTTTGCTGCTTCCTCCAGGGACCTTCGGTAAAGATGCCTTTCCAAGGCTTTTTAAGGCTTGGATCTGTGTTTGACATGCCTCCTTATGAGATGGCCTCAAGGCAGCTCTCCGGGTACCCACAGGTGAGAACGATGGGCCTGAGAGGGCAGGAGTGGAACATGGCAGGAACAGTCTGTCATGAGACCGATCAGTAGGCTTCCAGTGGTGGGACCTCCATGTAGCAGCCTCCTGGTGGCCCTGAGGCTCTCAAGCTGCTGGCTCCTCCATTTAGAGTGAAGCAATATTGAACAACTGTTTCCCCTCACTTAGGGGCCTGGTGGAGGTACCCCAGGTACAGAGGATACCCTAAGGTTGAAAGAGCCACACTTGAAGAGGTGGATGAAGGAGAGGTGGATCTGGGGCTCATCCTAGCCTTGAATGCTCTGGCCCTACCCAGCTGTTTTCCTGGCCACCCCCTTCCACACACCCAGGTCCCACCCCACCCCACCTATCCCCCATTTAATTGAAACTCACTGTTGCATTACAGGCAATTTTTTCTTTTTTCTTTTCTTTTCTTTTCTTTTCTTTTCTTTTCTTTTCTTTTCTTTTCTGAGACAGAGTCTTGCTTTGTTATCCAGACTGGAGTGCAGTGGTGCAATCTCAGTTCACCACAACCTCCACCTCCCAGGTTCAAGTGATTCCTGTGCCTCAGCCTCTGGTGTAGCTGGGACTATAGGCGCCTGCCACTACGCCCAGCTAATTTTTGTATTTTTTAGTAAAGATGAGGTTTTGCCATGTTGGCCAGGCTGGTCTCAAACTCCTGCCCTCAAGTGATCTGCCTGCCTTGGCCTCCCAAACTGCTGGGATTACAGGTATGAGCTACCACGCCCGGCCCCTCAGCTCATTTCTAACTCTGGGTTTTGTACACATCACCCCATGCCTTCTACTGGGAGTAGCTCCAGAGCTGCTTCACTCTCTGCTTTTTGAATTCCTCCTGGCTCAAACTGATCCCTTCTTTTCTTTTTTTTTTTTTTTTTTTTTTTTTTTTTTTTTTTTGTTTTTTTTTGAGACAGGGTCTCACTCCATCGCCCAGGCTGGAATGCAGTGATGCGATCTCGGTTCACGGCAACCTCTGCCTCCCAGGTTCAAGTGATTCTCTTGCCTCAGCCTCCCAAGTAGCTGGGATTACAGGCACCAACCACCACGCCCAGCTAATTTTTGTAGTTGGCCAGGCTGTTCTCAAACTCCTGACCTCAAGTGATCCACCTGCCTTAGCCTCCCAAAGTACTGGGATTACAGACATGAGCCACCACTCCCGATTTATTTTAATTTTTTTAGAGACAGGGTCTCCATCTGTCGCTTAGGCTGGAATGCACTGGTGTGAGCCTAGCTCACTGTAACTTTGAACTCAGCACCTCAGCCTCCTGAGTAGTTAGTACTACAGTCAGACAACACCACACCAGGCTATTTTAAATTTTTTTTTTTGGTAGAAACAGGGTCTTACTGTGTTGCCCAGGCTGGTCTCAAACTCCAGGGCTCAAGCATTCCTCCTTCCTCGGCCTCCCAAATTGCTTAGATTACAGGCATGAGCCACTGCACTTGGCCCCCTGCCTCTTCTAAGAAACTTCCCCTGATTACTCCCTCCATTGGCCTCCCACTGCCTGGAGCATCTGGCCAACTCTTGCCCTTGTCTGGAGGCTGGCTGAGGCACAGCTCCCATTTTCTCGGCTTTCACATTTGCAAGGCCATGTGTCCTCTGCTCCGGCCCCCTGCCTGTCTGCCCAGGGCAGATCCCAGCACAAGGCTGGCCCAGCTGGATATGTATGGAGCATTCCTGGGTTGCACTAAAGTGTTCCCCACTTCTGCTTGCCAAGTTTCCACTCAGCCCTTGACATCTGGCTCAGATGCTCCCTCCTCAGAGAGCTCTTTCCTGACTCTTCGGACTGGGTCATGGACACCCTCTGTGTACCCCCTCCCTGCAGCCATGCTTCCCTCTGTCACAACCCTAATGTTGCTGTGCCAGTCTATACTTCCAGCAGTTGGGAACCTGTATGGACCAGGGCTAGGACGGGTTCTTCTAGGGCCCCAGAACCAACCCAAGCCTGAGCACAAGGTGTCAGTAGAGGCTTGCTAAATAAATGGAATATCACTCCTCTCCAGAGAGCTCATTGTCATCCCCCAAAACCCAGCTCAAATGCCCCTTCCCAGAAGCTCTCACTTCCCACTCTCATCTTCCCTCACCCGCTTCATTGGTGACTCAAAGCATGGAACATACCCCTTGATGATAGTACACGTCACACTGTATTTTTGTGAGCACCTTAATGTGGTTTCCCCAGCTCTCTATGGCTGACTAGGACCTCTCAAGTGCCAGGCCCAGGTCTGTCCATCTCCATGCCCACAGGGCCTGGGCCAGAGAAGGGGCTGAAGAAATAGTTTTTGGTGAGCTTCTGGGTCCTGTGAGGGACCTTACTCCATGCCCAGCTGAGCTGAGCTCTAATTCTCTGCATGGTTTGGGGTTGGTGGGGCTCCTGGTGCCCTGGACACAATGGCAAACATGAAAGCTGCCCAGGCCTGGAGGACTTAGCGACCCTGCCTCTGCCATTTGGCTGTGAGTTTCTGTAGGAGCTCATGTGGTCGTCGGCGGAACTTCTTCTGGGTGAAGTAGAAGAGGATGGGGTCCAGCACGCTGTTGGCGCTGGCGAACGGCCGTGTGCCTTTATAGGCCGCTGCAAAGGCCTCCAACACAGGGCAGGGGACGCCTGGCGTTGAGCGCACTGCCAGGTAGGCTGTCTTGGTGATGTGGAAAGGCAGGAAGCTGATGGCAAAGGCAGCGGCCACCACCACCGCCATGCGGGCTGCCTTGCCACGCCGCTCCTGGGCCACAGGCTCTGCTGGGCCATCCTGGCGGCACAAGCGGCGGGCCAGGAGACAGTAGCAGGCCAGCAGGGCAGCAAAGGGCAGCAGGAAGCCGATAACAGTGAGAGCCATGCCATAGGGCATATAGCGGGTGGCCAGGGCAGGCGGGCTGAGGTCATAGCAGACGGTGCGGTTACGCTGGATGCCTGTGGCAGCAAAGACGGCTGTGGGCAGGGACTGGGTTGTCACAGCCAGCCACACGGCTACACACACTAGCCAGGCGGCCCGGCGGCCCCCACGTTTGTGCCAGGGGGCCAGCGGGTGGCAGATGCCCAGGTAGCGCTGGAAGCTGATGCAGGTGAGGAAGAGGATGCTGCCATGCAGATTGGCGTAGAAGAGGAAGCGGACCAGGCGGCAGGCGAAGTCGCCAAAGGGCCAGTGGTCACCTTGGGCATAGTTGTAGATGAGCAGGGGCAGGGAGCAGGCATACAGTAGGTCGGCCAGGGCGAGGTTTAGGGTATACACAGCCGTGCGAGTCAGGGCCCGGCGGGACGTGCAGATCTGGGTAATGACACAGACGTTCAGCGGCAGGCCAGCCGCCAGCACCGCCGAATACACAGGTGGCAGCAGCAGTCGCTTGAAGTTCTCGCGGTAGACACAGGTGGTGGGTGGCAAGCCCAGAGCCTGTCCTGTGCCATTGTCCCACTCCATGGCTGCTCAGGTGAGTTTCCTATTTTCAGGGAGGCTGGGAAAGCAATACACAGCCTGTCAGTGACATGCTCACTCACCACCCAGCAGGCCCTGCCCCTCCTCGGGCCCTGATCTCCGTGTCTGAACAGTGAGGGCACCAACTTTGTCAACTCTGCTACTCTAACCACCCCATGAAGCCCCACAGAGCCCTCACTTCGAGAAAATTTGTGATACAATAAAGCTCACGCTTGGAAACAATCTGATTCATTTTGTGTGTGTGTGTGTGTATGTATATATGTGTGTGTGTGTGTGTATATATATATATATATTTTTTTTCCTTCAGCCTTCCAAGTGAACTTCTATTCATTCTGCAAAGCCCTGATCATATGTTTCTTTCTCTGTTAGTGGAGATTGATGGACTTGGGTTTGAATCCCAACTCTGTTATGTATTTGCTATGTGACTTTGAGGTGATGATTTCATTTCACCTAAGAAAAGGGGGAATGTGATGCCTGCCTCTCAGGGATGTCAAGAGGTTAGAAGCACTAAATCATGCTGTGCAGGGCTGCCAGGGGCTCCCTGGGGTGTGGAGACTCTGGTCATGGTGGATCCGCATGTCTCTCACAGACTGGGACCTGCCTGAGGAGAGGGGCCAGGTCTGGTGTCTCTCTGGTCTTAGTCCAGGGTGTGGGGCAGAAAGGGCCCTGATAACTCTTAGTTAACCAATATGAAGGGTCCACACACCAGGGGCTCACTGAGGACCGCACCCATCTCCTCAGCCTGAACTCCACCTTTCAAAGCCATGGTTCTTCTGGCAGAGGTCTTGTTATCTGTAAAATAGGGGAAGGAGGTGATACCCAGTTCCCCAAGGCCTGGTTCCACTTGAGGCTACAAAGGCAGGTTTGGCAGAGCCTCTGACAACACAGCGCCTGCTAGTGCCCAGAGTGAAAACAACGTCCCTGAAGGCGGATGGGTGAGGGACCAAGTCATCTGTTTACTTTACAGAGATGGAAATCCAGGCACAGTGAGGGGCAGGGACTGCTCCTTTCTTCGTAAGTCAGAGCAGAGTCAGAACCAGAACCCAATTGCCCAGTCCAGAAAAGGCAGCTTAGTGTAGCCCACAGACATGGGATGTAGAGTTTACATGACCAACTTCAGAGCTAGGCAGGCCTGGGTTTAAATGTTGCTCCCTCACTTATGTGCTGTGTGAAACAGGTCATGTCACAGTGTCCTCATAAGTGATGTGGCCAGCGTCCTCATCAGTGAAATGTGTGGTGATGACATTCAGTAGTGCTCAATAAATGCCATGCCATTGCATTCTACATCTTGTCCCTCCTCTCATTCTTTCGGGCTGGGTTTTGGGAGAGCCAGCAGCACAAATACCCTAAGGGGTTCCCTGATGGGGTAAGTCTGACTGCTAGACACTCACCTCTAAACTGACATTGCCATATTACTGGTGTCTAGAGAAAATTTACAACTAAAATCCAATGGGCCTTTGAGATAATGAATCTAATCCTCCTCTTTTCCCATTTTACAGACGGGAAAAATTGAGGCCCAGAAAAAATATGAAGTCCTGCAAATGCACTCAGTGGGTGGTAAAGGGTTCAGGCAAAGTATATGGACTCTGGTCCAGATGCTTAGGTTCAAGTCCCAGCTATGCCACGGATGAGCTATGTGGTCTTGGGCATACTAGTTAACCTCTGTCCTCCAGATTCCCCATCTGTAAAATGAGATAGTACCTGCCTTATAAGATTGTTGTGAAGATCAGTGCCTGGCATGGGGCCAAGTGTTTTCTGTTCTTAATATACCTACTAAGTAAGGTTATGGGATTTAAAAAAGTTATATTAGAGAAAAATACATTCTTCCCAACTTACAATTTCATTTTGGTGAAGCTATTTTACCCCAATTCTGGGCAAAATGATAATGTTGGATTCTCTGTCTGCAGCCCACATCCCATGTCACCCTCAGTTACCAAAGATTCTTTGTGGGGCTTTAGACCGTATGCTAGGAGTGCTGGGTGCCCAGCTAGGACAAGGTAGGAACGACGAGGAGACCAGAGGAAGAAACATAGCAGCCCCCCACAGCATAGCCATGAAGCCAGGATGAGCACAGGCAGAGAACGTCCGCTCATCTCTTCATTCATTGGTTCGGGCCATTCTCATTCACATGTTCATTCTCTTGTTTCCACATGACAGGGATTCACTGAGTCCTCTCTACCAGCTAGATACATGAGGGCATAGTGTATAGGTGGACACGGAGATATGGGGATACAGATACAGATATGCTAGTCTGATGGAGGAGACCAGTGTGAACCACCTGGTGGAAGAGACTTTTCAGAGCAGAATGAAAGACAGAGCAAGGCCTGGGTGGTTGACCAGGATTTCCATGGGTGGAGAAGGGTGGGAGGACACTCCGGGTGAGGAGGAAGGTTGAGGGACACAGCACCCCTCTACCATGTTCCCCTCCTCACCATAACCCTCTGTTCTTGCAGACCAATCTCCTCTCACACAGGGTCTGACAAAGAAATCTGAGAAAAAAGAAAACTGCTGGTTCCGTGGGGCTGGCCTTTGAGACGCAGCCTCTGCCCCTCCCTGACCCCTCTCCTCACACAGGGTCTGAGGAGACCAGTCTGCAAGGGAAGAGGGTTGTGGTGAGGAGGAGAACATGTTAGAGGGGTGCTGCATCCCTCAACCTTCCTTTGGGAGGCCTTCACCCTCAGATCCCACCCCCAGGGACAGCCCTCTGTCTCAGATGAGTGGGGACAGCAGTCTGCCACTCGCACACCCTGGTGAGACTGATCCTCCTGGGACCCCCTCCCCTCCCTCTTGGAAGGAGGCAGAGGGCTGCAGGAGGGGATCCAGCGCACAGCTGTCTGGGAAAACCTTCAGGGCTGTGTCAGGAAAGAGGCCTGACCATCACCCCGGCTCCTTTGTCTATTTTCTGAGGACCTAGGAGAGCTGAGCTGTTCTCCCAGTTCCTGGCAGGGGCTGGCCTCAAGGAGGGTGCTCTTGGCTCCCACCTCCAGGCAGCAGCTGACCTTGGCGCTGACATCTGTCACTAGCTCTTGGGTCCTAAGTTCTGGACCAGACCAGACCCCAGCCTCTTCCTGGGCTGGACTCTGCCCATGGTGCGGGGGACTTGCTAACAAGTGGCTGTGACTACATCCTTCTCTCCATTCCTCTGCCCTTTGGGGGAAAGGCCCAAACCCTTTTCCTGACATTCAAGACCCCTGCCAAGCCCTCCAGCCCTATCTGAAGTACACCAGGGCCACTCTGCCCTTGCCCCTTCCTCTTTCATCACACATTCCCAAGACGTGGAGACTCCCACATAGCCAGTGGCAGCCAGAGAGCCAGACTCCCTCTCCAGCCTCCCCATCTCCACTGTTCCCTTCACACAAAGTGCCATCCAACTAATCTCCATTTATCAAAACCCTAAGTATCTATCTAGCTCCAGATCTCACCTTGCTTCTTCCTTTTTTTATCCCCCCAGCTGGATGGAATCCCTTCCTCTGGGCCTCCTAACTCTGTGGGCCTCCTTTAAGTCAATGCTGAACCCAGCCTTCCTGCCCAAAGTCACAGTTCCTTGTGTCCACCCGCCCCCCTACCCCCCACAACCCCTGCACTGGCCCATGGCCCCAAGATGCACTGACACTCACAGGCAGCCTCCTGTCCCTGCAGTACGCTGGTGGTCCCAAGTGTGTTGGGGCAAAGAGAAGCCAGACCTGAGGCTCCCCACTCTCCTGCCCTCAGCTAGGCTGCAGCTCATCTGACAGGGTGAGCAGCTTCCTCTGTTTCCTGGCAGGACTGTCTCTGACTAAAAGAGTCTCTGTGGGGGCCACCGGCTCCCTGCCATCGCCAACACCACGCCTAGCGCCTGGCGGAAACTGGGCTTAGAGGAGCAAGGAGGTGGAAAAAAGGCATCCTTCCCGGAACACTCCTCTACCCCAGCAGGGGAAAGAGGGGGATGGGGCAGAGGAGGAGGGGTAGGGGAGAACCACAGGCTGTCAGCCCCATAGAACCAGCAATTTTCTTTCTGCTCAGCCGTCTCTCAGTCTTCGCAGCTGTCAAATGGGTAGGGCAGTGATTAGAGAGCTCGAGGCTCCTCCTTTAGCTATAACACTCAGAGCCACGGGGTGTCCATTCCTCCTCCCAGCCATTCACTCCCCCATCTAGCCTTCCTTCCCTCATTCAATAGCTCACTCACCAACATGGCCATCTACCCATCCCTCCGTGTGGCAATCCACTTATGTACATACTTACTCAGCCCCCTTCTCCCTCCCTCCTTCCCTCTTCTCCTTTTCTCCACACACATTTATCGAGTACCTACTATGTGTCACCAGATCCTCCTACGTTCCCCCATTTCACAGCGACTGCTTCTTCCACACAGCAGGTGCAGGGCGCATAAGGAGTGATGGACATGGGCTGTGGAGATAGATGTGATGCCCCTGAGGACCCAGTTGCCTGTGCCACATCCTCCCCATCCCCTCCTCACCACCAAACTGGCCTCAGAGCTGTTAGGAGACCAGAGCAGGAGATGTGGCTCCTCATTGTCCCGGGGAGGCCAGATCCAGAGTGGGAAGCAGCATTCCAAGAGGGCGACCTGGAGGAGGTAGGCTTTGATTTGGAGCAGCTGAGGTAGCAAGGCGGGTGGCAGGGGAGGATTGTGTGGGGAAAGAATGCTGCCCTGGGAGTTTGAGGCCCAGGTTCTTACTCCACCTTTGCCCCCAATCACTGACTAGATAAGCCCCTTCCCTTCTCTGAGCCTCCTGGGTAGAATATGGTCATACTGACCACCAGTGTGCTGGGAGGATAAAGTGCCACTCAGGGCGGCTCATCTTCTACCCTGGGAGGTGCAGAGGAGACTCTTAGAGCCTAGAGCATCAGAGCTGAAGGTGCCCTTAAAGGCACCAATCTCACCCCAAAGCCATTTTTACAGGCAAGGGGATTGAGGAACAGAGTGGGAACCCAAAGTTTGGATCACACTGAGAAAAATCAGGTTTGAACTTCTGATAAACACTTGGTCAGTTGTGCACAGATTGAGCACCTACTGCTTGCTTAGGCCTGTGCTAAGAGGTCACTTCTGCCAGCTGAGTGTGGACCTCCTGGTTGGATTTGACCTGTGCTGTGGCCCAGGAGAGCAAGATGGCCTTCAGCTCAGCAGCCAGTCCTTTGCTGGGTCCTTGGGACAACCTCCCACAGCCACTCCCAGCAGGCTGGGTCACTGTCCCAGGAATGGGAACAGATCTGAGGGCTCCTGGGAGGTGTTGTCCCCAAGGCAGGGCAGGGCAGGGCTTGGGTAAGAAGCCTAAGTGGTCTCAGTCCCTGCAACCTGGATGGATGGGAAACAAAGCTGCCCCTATCATGTCTTATCCGCCCAGACGTGCAGATCTGGAGACCCCTAATCCCACTGCTCCGCTCAGATAAGGGCACTTGGACTAACCTCAGAGGGGAAGAAAAGGCTCATGGGGTCCCACTTGACAGATGGAGAAAGAAACTAAGGCCAGCTGCCCCTTCCCCACCCTCTTCTCAGGGATTCAAGGGCATACAAGAGGCCTGGCCTGGCACCTCAACAACCACTGAATACCCATTACCCACTGGCCTTTTAGTTCTTTGCCTTCCTAACAGAGTCTAGGTTTGAGGGCTCTCAGGACCTTGGAACTACAGCATCCTAGGGCTTGGGACTTCAAAGAATTTAAGGATGACTGAATTGGAGCCAAGGAGCTGCCCTGCTCTCACTGGGCCTTAGCTTTGCCCATGGACCTGGCTAGGCCTAGAGGAGGGGACGGGGCCTGGGAGGGAGCACTCAGGTCTGAGGGGTCATGGGTGCACCTGGGAGGGAGTAACCTGTAAAGCTCATGGAGAAAGCATGTCCACTGCTGGGCACTAAAGGACCAGAGGGACCTGGACTCATAACAAGGCTGAAGAGGGCATCACAGGCAGGAGGTCCACTGTGGGCAAAGGCACAGAAGTGGGGAATGAGCTTAACCTCTGTGAGAAATTAATAAATATAAAAGCCAGAGCAATGGATGAGCTCTGCAAAGAGGGGGCTTCAGATGAGAGGCCTGAGAGGGGCTGGCCCACCACGAAACCTCCAACGTGGAGCCTTCTTTTGGCAGAGATCCTCCCTCCTTGGCCTCCCAAAGTATTGGGATTACAGGCATGCACCACTATGCCCGGCCACGGTCAGTCTCTCTCCCTCTTTCTTTCCCTCCCTTCCTTCCTTCCTTCCTTCCTTCCTTCCTTCCTTCCTTCCTTCCTTCCTTCCTTCTTCTTCCTTCCTTCCTTTCTCTCTCTCTCTCTTTCTCTCTCTCTTTCTTTCTTCTTTCTTTTTCTTTTCTTTTCTTTTTTCTTGAGATGGAGTTTCACTCTTGTTGCCCAGGTTGGAGTACAATGGCACCATCTTGGCTCACTGCAACCTCTACCTCCCAGGTTCAAGTGATTCTCCTGCCTCAGCCTCCCAAGTAGCTGGGATGTACAGGCATGTGCTACCATACCAGGCTAATTTTGTACTTTTAGTAGAGATGGGGTTTCTCCATGTTGGTTAGGCTGATCTTGAACTCCTGACCTCAGGTAACCCACCTGCCTCGGCCTCCCAAAGTGCTGGGATTACAGGCGTGAGCCACCGTGTCTGGCCAGTGTTGTTTCTTAAATGCCTATTCTGTGCCAGATGTTTTATCTGCAGTCCTGGGCAATTTGGTGGGGGGTGGATTATTCCCTCCCCTTTACATATGAAGAAACTAAGACTCAGGAAGGGCCAGTGAGTTTTCCAAGCTATCCCAGCCAGGTGGCATTTCAGTATGTTCTTCTTGACCCTAAGGCCCCCTTCTTCATTGTTCCCCCTAAGTTGGAGCTCAGATGCTCAAACCAGGGGATTCTCAGGGGAGTTGGGTCTTTCCTGCATTGAGACCCTGTAGCCATGAGATGGCACCAGCGGACAGCCAGCCCCACTCTGTCACACAGCCAGGGAGGGGTGAGGGCAAGGCTAGTCTGACCACAGTGGGGGGCCTCCCCTCAGGGCTGGCACTGAGCAGCCTCCGGACTGGGTTTCCGGTTTCATTTCCTCTTGACCCACTCCCCAACCTTCCTTCCACTCACCCTCCCCAGATGAGCTCAAGCTCTCATTCTCAGGTCCTCACCCTGGTCAGTGTGGTCACAGGAGCCACTGGGGACATGGCAGGGACAACAGGGTCAGCACCAAGCCTTATCTGTCTGAGGTAGAGGCCCTGGCCCCAGGCATCCACCACCCATCTCCACCCCAGGTACACCTTTGGCAAAACATGGCAGCCCCTCACCTCACAGCAGGGACGGCCTCTTCCAGTTTCCTTTTTTCAGTTGGGGTAACAACCATGGTGTCAGTTCTAGAGCAGGAGCAAGTCAGTATGGACATAGGAAGAAATGACAAGGGGCCTAGCCCTTCAGGCTGCTTAGATCCTATGGTCTCAGGATAAACTTTACGTGACCCCAGAGCCTCCCCCATCCCCTGAGGCCTTCATATCTAGCAGGGATGAGGGGATCTGTTGGCCAAAGGCAGGAGCTGGAAGCCTGAGTCACTGTCTGCCAGCCAGCTGAGGCAGGAACCAGCTCAGACCAAGCTGGATGTGGAAGAGGCTTCCTAACCTTGGCCTGCCTGCCTGCTGGGAAATAAAGGCCTGGAAACCCCCTTGCTGGGCCCCTGACCAGTGAGTTAGCAGCAAGGGCACAGGATGCCAAGGATCAAGAGTTAGCTTCCTTCCCCTAAGGAGTCAGACAGGCTGGGATTGACCACCAAATTGCTGTGTGACCTAGGGTAAGCCACCTACCCTCTCTGAGTCTGAGTAAACAGGGCTACTTATGGTGCCTACCTACCATACAGAGTCACTATACCCTCTGTGCCCCAGTCATCAACCCAATCCTGACTCTGCAACTGCCTCTAGCCTGAGGCAGGGTTGCCCTGGAGCCCACCTGAGGCCAGCTTGAGGCCAGGTTCCTAATGCAAGTGCCTCCCTGGCACCCAGACGACAGAGGGCGGGAAGCATAGTCCTCTCACCTGGAGGAGTTCTGGTCCTACCTGTGGCATCTGGCTGGCTCCAGAATGACAAACCTGGCAGAAGAGAACATGGAAGGCAGGGGCTCTGATTTCTCTTCTCCTTTCCCACTTCCCCTTCTCACTTCCCGCTCAACAGGAATTAAATCTAAAACTGAAACAGCCATTTTCAGTGAAAGGAAGAGGAAGCTGCAGCTTTGGGGAATTTGGGGGTTGGGGCTGCTTCCTTTGGTTTCTCTCCAGCCTCTTCAAGCTTAGCAAAGATGGAACTTACATCTCCCAAGACCCCACTATGTATGAGGGGCCCCAGCTGCCCAAGAGTGCACCCAGAAGCCCCACCACAACCTGGACACATGTATTAATTGAGCACTGATGATGAACCAAGCATTGTGCAAAATGCTTAATGTGCCTTGTCTCATTCACTCTTCAAAACTACTGTTTCCACTTTACAAATGAGGTGACTGAGGCATCGCAAAGTTAGCAAGAGGTTCTTTCTTGGGAATGTGAATGAAGAGGGTTAGAGACCACACGGCCCCAGTGGGCACAAGGCTGAGAGGTCAAGGGCAGCCCTGAGACTGAGGAACTGTGGATAGCACAGAGGCCCAGGGAGCAGCTGTGACAGGGCAGCCCCCAGTGAGCAGAGGGACGGCCTGTGGTGCCCAGCCCTTATAAGTCCACGCCTATAGGGCCACCGCACCTTCCACCCAGTGCTCTAGGAGATCCCCAGGGTCTCCTAAAAAACTCTCCCCTGGAGATAGTTGGAGAGGCTCTCTGTGTCTTGCTTGGACCACCAGGCCATCCCATTTGTTTGTCTCCTTGTGGGAGAGGCTACGTGGTTCTCCCTTCAAGAAGGAACCTGCTGCTTAGCTGCAAGTAGCACAGTTGGCTGATGGCCTCAGTTAGTGCCTTAAGGATCTGCCCATCCTCCCAGATAACCAGGCTTCAGTCTGTGGATGGCCCAGGTCCAGCCACCTGGCCAGCCTAGCAGTCATTGTTCAGCCCCTCTGTAGCTTCTTCCCACTCAGTTCCCAGATCCGCTTTTATGATGACGACCCTGCCCTCTGATTTTCCTTTAGGGGATCCCCCTTCTCCCATCTAGAGTCTTGGGGATCTGGGAGTGATGGGTCTGTGATTGAAGCCTGCCAATGAGAGAAGAGTGAGCCCCTCAGGCCTGTAACTGGCTCGGGGTGGAGGAGTGATCTTCATTGCATGCCTCAGAGTCAATTCTGGTGCTTTTACTGGGGCATCGGGAAGGAGACAGGTCTTCCACAGCATTTGCAAAGCTAGTAGAAAGCGAGGCAGGAGCTGCTGGAGCCAAGTGAACTAAGTTCCAGGCACTGTCCTGGGCGATGGAGATACTGCCACCAGGGAGAAGACTGTCCACATAGAAAGCCAGGGAATGGCAGAGATGATAGACAGGGATGCATCGTTTCCTGAGAACAGCACTGAGTGCCTGGTTTCAGCTGTGCCTGAGGTTTTACCTTTGGTGTCATGAGCTGATAAACTCCCTTTTTGCCTCAATCCATTTAACCTCGGATTCTGTCACATGAAACTAGGAGTCCTGCCTGCAGATCTGCACCTTGTGCCCAGGAAGAGAGGGGGCATTTCCCTACGGGAAAACTGAGACCAGTGAGGTTAGGAACTTGCCCAAAGTGCACTATAAACCCACCATGACACCCTGTTTCTCAGGAAGAGTAGCCTAAGAAAGGACAAAGAAATGGAGGTCAGGGGTCAGGGCAGAGAAGACCAGCCAAAGGGGCAGTGTCAGACTCCCTCCCTTTCCTTCTCTAACTGTCCTAGGAACTGGGGACAAGGTCTGCTTTGCCTCTGGGGCCTCAGAGAGGAGTACAGGCTTTGGCTCCCAAGAGGCACTGGGAAATGTTGGATGATTGGATCCAGTCTATAAAGATGAGTCCCGGGGCTCTGTCCTTGGTGCTGCCTGGTTCCATTTTTTTTTTTTTTTAAATCTTTGTTTTGGCTGATGTGGAGATTTGTCAAGCAGAATGAAGGTAATGGGTTCAGGAGTAGCACCTCTGAGACTACTTGGGTCCCCCAGTCCCCACCTCAGGAAAGGCAGGCCACCAACCCTGCCAAGTGGCTATTGTGGGTTATGATCCTGCCCATTTCCCAGGCAGACCCTGAGGCCCGAAGGTAGGCAGTTTTGTCCACAACTCGTACAGGTAAGGTTTGGCTGTGGAGGGAGAGCCTCAAGGAACTCCTCCCCTCCCGTGAAAGGCAGCCCCTGCCTTGATTCCTGCTCTGATCGTCCCTAGCTCTTCCTAGGGCCTGAGCCCACCTGGCAGTGATAAGACATCCAGCTGGACCCAGGGGTCAATGACAGGCCTCTGAGTTCCAAACAGTCAAGGCTAGGGAGGCCTTAAGGTCATCCGACCCAGAGGTCTCCCCACCATCCCCCCAGAGAAGGGGGCTCTCTGAAGCCTTCCTGATTGGGCTTATTTGGCTCCTGCCTGCATACTTCCCATTACAGAGAGCTCACTCCTCTCCTAGGCCACTGCATTCCACCTTGAGAAAGCTCACTGGGAGATATGCTTTGTCACACCAAGCCCCGAGATCTGTCCCTAGTGACTGCTCTCCCACACCGGTCCAGCTTGCCCCTGGGGCCATAGAGCTTGGCTGCCCCAGGACACCCTGCAGAGATTGTCCCAAGACCATCCATCTATTGGTTTTCATTCTCACCAGGCAATTTCAGGCACATGTCCAGGCCCCAGGAGACCTAGTGGTGGATCCTCAAAGATGAGGCTGTGGTCTGTGACTGTTTTCAAACCTGAAGACAAAACCCTTTGCTACCCTCTGTCCTGTTTCATTGCCTGCCTGGGGCCTGTAAAGGGGGCATGGTCTCTTCTTTTGGGAGGAGGAAACTAAGCCCCCAACAGCTTAGTTACTTGCCAGGGCCACCAATCCGTCAGTGATCTTCCAATCAGCTGAACTGCCTGCCTCCAAACCCCAAATCTTCACCCTCAAACTGGCCCATTTCTGGCCAGTCCAGTGTGGGAAGAAGAGGGCTTTGTGGGTGTCTGAGGGGTGGCCTGAGAGGAAGAGATCAAAGTCAGGGGCAACTACCTCATTCAAAGTGCAATGTAGGAGGTCAGCAGGCAACAGGTGGCTCCCGCTGTGGAGTGTGCATGAAGAACACAGGACAGGCTGGGTGTGGTGGCTCACACCTGGAATCTAAGCACTTTGGGAGGCCAAGGCGGGAGGGTCACTTGAGCCCAGAAGTTCGAGACCAGGCTGGGCAACATAGAGAAAGCCTGTCTCTACCAAAAAATGTTTAAAAATTAACTGGGTGTGTTGGTGTGTGCCTGTAACCCCAGCTACTTGGGAGGCTGAGGTGGGAAAATCGCTTGAGCCTGGGAGGTCGAGGCTGCAGTGAGCTATGATCACACCACTGCATTCCAGCCTGGACTACAGAGCGAGCCCCTGTCTCAAAAAAAGGATGCAGGACAGACCCCCTCAGGTGGTCACTTAAATGACACCTTCTCCATGGGACCTTCTCCTACCACTCCAAGCTAAAATTATAATCTCCTACCCAGCACATGCACACGTGTGATTCCTATGCCCCTTCTCTGCTATATTTTTCTCCTTAGCATTTAAAATCTTTTAATACACTGTTCTACTTATTTATTGGTTATTGTCTCTCTCTCCTGACTGGAACATAAACTCCACCAGGGCAGGGGTTTTTGTGTTTTTTTCACTGCTGCATATACTTAGGACAGTGTCTGGCATATAGTAGGTGCTCAATAAATATTTATTGAGTGAATGAACAAATAAATTCCAGAGGTGGTTCAATTATGTCTACACAGAGAGGACTGGCTGCACGGGGGACTTTGCTTGAGGCTGTTCATATAGCAAGCTGTAGTTTGTACTTAAGAGTATGTGTTTTGGCCGGGCGCGGTGGCTCACGCCTGTAATCCCAGCACTTTGGGAGGCCGAGATGGGTGGATCACGAGGTCAGGAGATCGAGACCATCCTGGCTAACACGGTGAAACCCCCTCTCTACTAAAAAATACAAAAAACTAGCCGGGCGAGGTGGCGGGCGCCTGTAGTCCCAGCTACTCGGGAGGCTGAGGCAGGAGAATGGCGTAAACTCGGGAGGCGGAGCTTGCAGTGAGCAGAGATCCCACCACTGCACTCTAGCCTGGGCGACAGAGTGAGACTCCATAAAAAAAAAAAAAAAAAAAAAAAAGAGTATGTGTTTATTGGGGATTGGGAGCAAATAGAGATTAAATGTGAGCACCAAAGGCCTTTAAGCCAGCCCTGGGGCTGCTTCTACCTGGCTGTGTGTGTGAGATTTGGGCTGTGAACAGTCCCAGCTGAGAGGGGTGAATAAGACTTGGCCTGGCAGGGCTGGGCAGCCTGCATCTCCCTCCTGCCCGGTCTGAGGTTTTTCTCTGGCAGTCTCACCTCCCTGCACAGGATCACTCCCTCTGCACTGGGGCCCCGGCCCAGAATCTTTCTGGCTTCTTTTCCTTCCCTTGCCAGCCTAGGCCTCCCTCCCAGGACCCAGGATTCCCATGAACACAACCAATCAATTCGTGTCCTTCATTCATGGTGCCACCAGACTGCTCCGTCCTGCACCGTGGGGCTGAGTAGAGCTGGAGGACATGACTCAGTTGAGTGCCTAAGGCCCTGCAGACCCTGTCACTGCCCCACTTGGCTGGGTCCCCAAACTTCTGTCTCTCCTAGGGCATCCTCTCTCCTCTCCCTTCTAAGCCTTGGCCCCATCTTTCTTGTCAGTCCCGTACCCTCAACCCTACCAGCCCTCAACTACTCCTTCAGAGCAGACAGGCTTTCAGAGGGGCTGCCTTCAGTTTTCCACTGCCCAAATAAACCCCATGTCTGCACCTTCTCTCCTCACTCCTCCACAGCCCCGCGGGACCCCAGGTACCGCCTCCTGCCCCCTCTTCAGCACCCTCCCCGTGCTGCATCTGCTTGTTCCTTCCCCTCCGCCCAAACACTCTCCACTCCCCAGTCTCTCTCTCTCGTCTGAGCAAAATGTCTTCCTTGACCTCTCATGCCTCTCCGTCTGTTCCTCTTCC